TTAGATGATGTCGATCGATTTGTTGTAGATGATGCATTTTTTCAATATTTTCATATACATGAATATCTTGTTCGACTGGTACCATATATTTGGCTTCTGGTATTATTAAATTACCTTTTTGTTGTTCAGAAGGATATTGATGTAAACGTTTTTCAACTTCTTGATCATGTGATTTTAAACGTTTAAACTCGTGTGCATTTAAAATAACTGGTGATTTACTTTGAATTTGTTCGCGAGGATGTCCCTGACTCGGTGCAATTCTTGCATGTTCTACATCTTTATGTTCAATTGGTAAAGGTTGTGTTTGTTGAACAACTAACGGTTTATTTATTTTTCCTTTGTGATATGTAGTAATACTTTTAACTTTTGCGGTTGATAAATCTTCAGAACCTGCTGAGTCAATGACAACACCAGCTTTACTCATTTTAATTGTATCGACTATTGGTGAATGAGTATATATTTTTGGTTTATGAATCGAAGTGGCAGATGATGGCTGAGTTGGTATAATCTAAAAATGTCAAAAAAATTTAATACATGGTTATTAACAAAAAAAGACTAATTAGACATTTTAGTTTAATTTTTTAAATCAGGTCTTTCTTATTTGCAAAATTCACAATGTCATCGGTTTTGAAAATTACTGTTTACCTGGACTCTTCGCCTAGCTTTATCTGGTATTACTGGCTCTTGATCATACATAAGTACTTGTTGTGATGCTTTTAATGCACCATTGACTAAACCATTTTGTGCTTCTAATTTCGTTTGTGCTCGGTCTTGTCTAATTCGAATTTCAGCATTTGGTTTTGGTGATATTTTTAATTTTTCGGAGTGATCATCATACGGTTGTTGAATCGATGAACGGGCTGTATCGATGTGAACATGGTCTGTTATTGGTCTGTTATATGTGTTTGAATGTACAACAGGCGGATCAACAATCGAAATATTATTTCTAGATATATCACTACCATTAAGTATGATATTATTATTGTGATCAAACTGTTGTGATCCGGTTCCTAGTGTATTATAAACGGGACGTGCACGTGATGGAAGATGATTTGATGAATTAACTGGAATTATTGGCACTTGAATAACAGGTTGATGGGATTTAACAGCACCATGCAAATCAGGTTCATTCGCGTACATTGGACTTCGAACACCTGAGAAAGAAAATCAGTATGAATATGGAAAGAGAAAAACGATGTCAAATGCAGACGGAACAGATATGACTTGACTTATTCTGATAAATAACTTTCAAGTTCTGGGCGAAAAACGAGCATGAAAAGTTTAGATATCATACGCACAAATTTGTCTTGTCTCTCTGGGTAAGAAAGAAATCCTCCTTACGTCCTTCTTTATTTGTTTTTATTGAGCTGGCTGCCCTGTTCCAATAGTATCTACTATAACGACAAATGTATCCGCGAAAGATCTATTCACATCTTAGTAACTCATCCGCAATGGGCAATGATGCGGGCATTTAGCCAAGAACGGAAGTGTACATCTTTTGATCTCAAATAGCGAATAATAATCTTCACACTATGAGCTATTTTTTTCTAACAAAAGTTTTTTTGTTTCAGTCTTATTGTACTGAGAACAGTCACGTACAAAACATAGGTCCGAAATCACCGTATCTGTCGCTATCACAGTTTTTCTCTAAGTTAAATGTTTGTTTGGCTAAAGAGAGATTTTGTTTTTAAATTGTGGACCTTTTTTGAGCATTTGAAAAAAATTTATGGTGTTTGAACTTAAAACAGCCGAGAAAATCGATGTTTTCCATGTTAACAAGAATTTCCCAAAACGTACCTTAATGTAGTGCGTTTTCACTCATTTTCTACCCTTATCGTCTGCTCAAAATTTCCACAAATCTTCTCTTTCCTATCGTACATTTATGATTTTAGAGAAAAAATGTGCAAATGATTCTGAGCTTCTGAAGAGGGTTTTCAAATAACCATGGTTTTTGAACGAAGATCTATTTCTCTCAGCAAAAACATGTTCCTAATCAAAGCAAATGACAAATTCAGAAACAACTCTATAATAATAAGTTTTAAATGAAATATACCGTAATCAAATTTTTTCGCTTTGGTCTCATATAGCAATTTTTAAATAAAAATAACTTAGTTTTTTTTGAAAACGTTTAGTTCTTGTTGATAAGGTTTTGGGATGGTCGCAGAATGATAATGATTCATAAAAAGAAGTTTATTCTGATATCCGTCCGCATTACAAGTCAAAATTGCCCGTTATATCACCGCCCTGAGAAGAGTAATATGTGATATTAGTTATTAGACGATGATTATAAAAAATTTGCAAAAAACATTGTTTTTTCAAACTCGTGCGCAAAATAAGTCAGGTTAAATCCGCTTCATATACCAATGTCAGATTTAGAGTTAAAAATACTATCAAGTGAATAAGTGTACATACCTGCCGCTAATTGTCCTTGTCTTTCTCTTCTTCGTCGTTCAACTTCGATTGCAATTTTACGTTTATAATTTTCCAGTTGAAATGGTTTATATATATCCGACACATCTTCAGCTGTAAAACTAGCTGGGGTTGTAAATGGTTGACGGTAACGTAAATGTTCTCGTCTAACTTGATATAAATGTTCAGCTGACAAGCTTCGTCCTAATTTTGATGATTGATCAAATTCATCTCGCCATCTATTTCGAGCTATATTTCTTGCAATAACTTCAACACTTCGAACGCTATCTTTCATTGAACGATTTAAATGTGATATATAATAATCGGAAATTAAATTACTTGGACGATCTAATAATGAACGATTTACAGTTGATAAATAACGATTTATGTGACGTTGTGGTAATTGTGCTAGAATTCCACCATTTGTATTCATTTGTTGTTCATCTTCGTCTGACCAAAATGATGAATTTGAATTTATTTCAATGTCACTATCTTGATCTATCGGTTTTTTCGATAAAATTTGTTGTTGTTGTGACATGTTTCGTCGGTTTTTTGGTGTTGTATAACGTGATGCATTCGATACTTGACCGGCTATTGTTGCATCAACACCACGAAAATGTTCTTGAACAATTTCGTAAAATAAATCAATATCGGGTGGAATATTTGATACAGTCTGAGATGGCTAAAATAAAATGAAAAAACATTCGATATTCTTAAAAGGGAAGGCATATGTACTACACCTGCTCATTACAATCGAAATAAACATTTTCTAAGAATGCATAAAAAATCGGCTACTGTTTCGAATAATTTGTCTTATAAATGGTATGGAATTATTATTCAAAGTTTGGTAGAGTTAGTGGAAATTATTGATGTTACGAGTATTATGTCTGATTGTAAACCCTATTTTTCTCAACTCGAATGGCTTGGGAGGCGATAAAAAGATTAAATCAAACAACAAAAATAAAATAAAAAAAGAAATTGATGGACTTAGAAAATTTTCTGATCATACTACTCCATATATGTGCTTTCATCATGTTTATGGCCCTGATGAACAAACAAAGAAAAGTAAAGGGATGAAAAATATACACCATTGTTGAGCGTAGAATATGGCAATAATAATCGACTATTATAAACAAAATAATTCCCAAGTTCAACTATAAGTTTTTGTACTAATTTTAAAAACAAGATTAACAAAAAGAAAGAAATGTTCAGCTCTTCTGAAGATCATCCAATGATCTTGGAACACGAACCATCGAACTGAGACACAAAAGAGGTAATACATATCCATATAAGAGGAAACAAATCTTGACGATGCTCACGATCTTATTTTTATTAAAATCATTAGATCAAATTGTAATACATACCGATGTCGTTGATCGTAGTGAACGTCTATCTGGTTCAAACCCTAATGATTGCACATCGCCAGCACTACCATTTTGTGTTCTATTATGACTAGTCGATATGGTCATTGGACTATGCAATGATAATGGTGATAGTCTTCCAATAATGGATGATGATGATGGTGTTGATAAACTTTGATGATCCATACTTGAACTAAGTCCCGATCGTGTTCGTTTCTCTCGATCGATTTCTGTTTTCATTTTATAATTTTCCAGCGACGCTGACATGTAAATATCTTCGATGTCTTCATTTGTATATGATTTCATATTTGTTCGATTATATTTATATCGAAGATCTTCACGTCTCAAATCATCGACATAAGTCGTCGAAAAACAGCGAATAAGATTATGTGATAGTTCACGTTGTAATGATCGATGTTCGCTTGTTTTTAACTGTCTATGAACTGCTCGATCTAATAGTTTTAAACGATTTTTATTCGCCATTGTTGAACTTGTGGTGAGAGTTTGTGTAGAGTTATTAAAATCTTTGGCTAGTAAACTACGGTTGACATTTTTCATTATTGTACTATGAGCCAAATAGGCTGATGGTACTTGTCCACGAATGTAAGAGGTTGTTGGTATAACATTCGACGGCAGTGATCGATTATAATCTTCCGAAGCTGAATCATCGCTATCCATGGGATAATCGATTGGTGGTGTGGGATACATTTTTTGGAGTTGTTGATCATCATCACTGTTTGCATAATACTGACTACGGTAAGGTGATGTAGGCTGGGGTTGTCGAGGCAAATCTCGAGCTTTTCTGAGTAAAGGTGAACGTTGATGATAATCCTCAACATTGAGTCGACGTCTCAATGCTTCAATGGTTACATTTGCGGGATCAATCACCTGTGGCTGTTGAAACTGCGCAGGAGGTGGAATAACTCGTTGTTGATGATCTTGTTGCCAACGTTTCTGTTCTAGTTTTGGAATTGTTGACGAAAAAAAATGATCTAATGATTTATTAAATGATTGAGGTGATGGACCATGACGTTTAGCATCAAGACGTTCTTGTGCTTTCTTTAAATAGGAACGAGACGAGTTTGTGGTCGTCGGTGGTTCAAGCCGAACAACTTGTACTTGTGGTGGAAGTGGCGTTTGTTTCGATTTTGGATATTTCAAAGTATCATCAACACCATTTGTCGTGGTGATCGTATTTACTCTCGTTGGAAGTTTATAATTACGATCGTAAGCCATTTGTTGACCTTGTGGATCATCAATTCTTACTCGTTTCTGTCCTCCTGCTTTATTATCAGTTGTACTGTCAAAGACAATCTTCGGTTGTAAATGTTTAGATTCCCAAATTTCTAGAATCAAAAGACAAAAAAACAATAATTGTCACATCAAACAAGCTCTCTCAGATGAGATAAAAATATGAACTTATTGTGAATGAAAAGATTTCCTGGAAATTCTAAAATTCTAAATGCCGTTTTCGAGCACATCTTATTGAAAATCTGTCAATTTGACCTCAAAAATCACCTCATTCTCTTCCGGACTCTGCTTGAAATCGATTTTCATTATGAACTAGAATAGTTATCTTCAGCGAATCCATAACCGCAAAAATGTGTACTAAGGTCTTTCTTACTTTCGGGTGTAGTTTCTTCGTCAAACGATGATGTTTGACTTGGATGTCGAATATCTTTCTGTTTTGCTGAAGGTGGGAATCGATAAGGTGTTGTCACTGTTAACTTTTTCGCTCCAATACCATTTTGCAGCTGTGTACCATGCATATATGTTGGTGTATGACCATCTAAACCGCTACCTGATCGAACAAGCGTAGCTGTTTTACCAGCACCTATGTTCTCTTTATCAAAATTAAAATCATATCTGTCTGACGACAATGAACGGCGATCAGGTGAATTGAATGATGAGTCCGTTTTTCCACCTTTTCGAAAATGATAGATGTTCCCAGGTTCATGATCACTTTGACTATCTGCAAATTTATAACGTTTGTTTGATGACGGAGGAGTTGATGAGGAAGAATTTTTTTTCGTTCTATTCGACGAATTAAATCGATAACGTTCGAATTGTTTTCCTGTGCGAGGATTCATTGATGGTGGTGGTAAAACGCTTGCAGTAGGCATTTTTGGTACAGTATTTGCTGCTGTGACTACTTTCTCGTTACTTGTGTTCGAATAAACAGGTTCCAAACGTTTTAGTAAACGTTTAAATTTTTGTAATTGTAAATTTAATGATTCGTCAGTAACGTGTGGTTTTAAATTAAATTTAGCTTCAATTTTATAATAATCACTAGTCGTACTGTCAGTACTATCTTCACCTGAACTATCAGTGCTTGTAAATGATAATAAGGAAGAGGATGATGCCGAATTATTGTTGAGTACGATGGGACCGTTACTCAACTGAAAATAAAGAAAGAAATTCAATTAGATATAAATAAGTAATAAGATACATTTGGCTTAGATGGGTAAAGATCGTAAACGGCACTAAAAGATCCTGAAAACTCTCTTACTAGATTTTGAGAAAAGTTTCAGGATTCTAATCAGACTTAGTTTTGACCTTAACATGAACTAACTTATCTTTTACTTACTCAAATTCTGCTATTCACTGACAACAGAAGAACCGAAATTTTCTTCACATCTCCTATGTTGTTTGTGAATAAACAAAACACATTTTGTTTTAAACAAAGCTTAATTACTCATAAAAGAAGGAATGAAATTGTATGTGTGTGTTCTTATTACAGCTGGCTGATAGAAGGACATGTAGTCCTGTTTCTTTTGTTAAGAAAAAGAAAAGAGGAAGAAAGAGTTAGTTATACCGCGTTTTAGTGGTGTTTGCTATGCTGCTGTTATAGTTAAAATCGTGTCAAAGTGTGAAAAAAATTCAAAATGTTATATGAGAGAAAAAAAAGTGACGATAGAAGAATAACGACTCTGTTTCATTTCAACTCTCTGTTAAGGTAATGACTTTTTTTACGACAAATTCCTGAAAGTAAAAAAAGTTGAACTCTTTATAACTCTATTAAAGCTTCATCCATCACATAATAAACTACACAGACACAAAACGTCGAGGAAATAAAGAAGAAACCTTAGAACAAGCGAGAAGAAAAATTATTGAACATTTTTCTCTTTATAAATGTATATGACACATCTACACACGTAAGTTCTCTCCTGTCAACTAGAAACTGATGCTAGAGTATTACAGTCATCATCATTATATTTGCATGAATTATCATGTAGCTTTTTATGAACTATGAGTCAAGATATTATTCACAGATTAGCAGCTCAACTATGACAAGCTACAACAAGTCTGATAGACTTAACAGATTACTATCGATATTAGTTCATGAGCGACTTTTAGCCTATAATGTAACCTTGATTAAGTTTTATAATCGTCTTTTGGTTAAATAATGATTTTTCTTTTTTTAAAATGAAAACACTCTACAAAGTCCTCTTTCGATTTTTTGTCAAAGCAGCATGATGTGTTAACAAAAACTATACATTGAATTTTCTTCCTAATTCGAATACTTAAATATTTGTTGCATGCACAATCTCTCGCATAGAGCCCCAAACTGGCGTTTTTATTGCAGATGCTAATATCCTATATCGTTATCTCAATCGGCGATCGTAACGCGTCATATCAAACTTTTTTAAAATTTATCTACGGACTCAACTTAAGGTTTTTTTCCAAAGACTTGATAAAATCAAAAGGCGCTACTTATTGAACATCAAAGATGATAAAAGCAGTGTGACTGACGAAGATGACTGTCTCTGAATAGCTGTGCTAGATACTATCAAAGCTGACCACTCGAATATCCTTATTCTTAGAATTCTTCTTTTCTGATCATAGTAAGTGACTATGATAGTTCACCATCCTACTGGATATATTACCGAAATATATACTCGTTCTTTTAATATTTCCTACTTTCACACAGTAATCTGCATTTTGTGGCCAGGTTCATGGATCAGACTGGGAAGCAAGACTCGATTTGTACATGACCATCCGAAAAGTTAACGCTTGTTTTCCAAGTCCGTGTCAACAACATAAATATGAACCGACACGGGTTCTCTAATGGCAGTCATTTTCGATAGCTTCTAAAAAATTGTCTTTTAATTCGAGTAGAAAAGTCGTCACTGTGTTTCTTTGAGAGAAAAAGCGTACTGTTTTTACGTGACTTTAAATGTGATTGACACAATAGCATAGACTTTATTATGGTCATTTATCTTCAACCATAGAGATAGTGTGAAAACATTACTATGCATTGTTAATCCATATTTTCTTTTCTTACAAGTACTATTAGAAGCTCTGTATTTAAAATAACTCGATTTTCAAAATACAAGTGCATATTTTGTATACTCGTTCGTTATTTTTTTTCAATGACAGCGTTAATGAAACAGTCTTTATATGTTCTCGTATTTATTTGGATGTCATCCAAGATTAACGTATGTCGCCTTTGGTAAGTTTAAAAGATTTTCAACAGGAAAGAATAACATCAATAAAGAAAAGAAGAAAAGAACGATAAGGTAAAGATTTACCGCATATTTACACAAAAGAAAAAACTCTACTTTATTCTGTTTGACTATTTGACTAGAAAATACTCAATGTGTGTGCATGCACTTGAAAGCTCATTGTTCTGTTAAAGAAGAATCTGTTTTCTTTTCGCTCGTTTTCAGTTTTGTTTTTTTACAAAACATATTGTTGTACATATTAAATACTCTCACGGTCAATACAGACCGATTTCTTTTTGTTCAGATTATTTCTTCATAAAAAAAATTTTCTGATTGACAAATGAAATATATTAGAAAATTAAACGTCTGTAGGGCGAGGCCCTTTTCAATAAAAGGTTGTGCATAGAGAACAAAAAGTTTTTATGTCCTAAAAATTATAGACTTAAAAAAGTTTGTAGAAATGTAGGAGTCAACAAGTATACTGACAACTTGTTCGATACATATTTACCACAATGATCTCACTTAGTCTTATCCTCGATCAAAGTTTTACTCTTTATATGTTTTTTGTTAAATCAGAAACGAAAGTGTGAATAACACTCGTTGTCAGGGTTAATCTTTCATAAAATCAACAGAGGAGCCAAATTGAAAATAGCTTGTTTTCTTCTCTATTTTAAAAACTGATTCTCTATACAATCTACCGTTATTATTTTCTTGATTAAACTGTAATTTCTGTATATAACCCACCTGTTATTCGTCACGTTATTTCGAAGCACGGTCTAATATGTTTAAGTAGTCTGATTACAAGATAAATAAAATAATGTGTGTATATAAGAAAAAAGAAGAGACTAATATTTTAACAGGATATATAAAAGAAAAGAAAAACAGGAGAATAAGAAAAATATTACCTGAATGAAATGAAATCTTATATGGAGTTTATTATTATCATCATCATCATCATCATCATTCTAGACCACAAATAAACCGCTATGTGTGTGACACACATAGAAGAACACTACGTTAAATAAAATATAAAACAGTTTTTTTATGATGGCATATTTTCTTTCCCGCTTTACAAAAAAAAAAAAAAAAATGAAATGTAAGAAATAAATCTCAATAAGCAAGCAAACACATACACCTTGGCCTTCATGTTTTACTTTTCTTCTTCTAATATTCTACGACAAATAAGTTAAAAAACACCGGAATATAAGAGGAACTTTATCACGAGTGTGTTAACCATAAAATGTGTACTACTACTTAATAAATGTGGTTTCTATAATAGGGTAACAAATTCATCTATTTCTAATTCAATTATGTTTTTGTATGATACGGTTTTCATTTAACAAATGTAATTCAATTCGTTGATTTTCATTTCTTTTTCAGTCTAAGAAGTTTTTGATATCCATGTTGCTTCATACTCTTTCGATTTTTTTTCTTTACTAGTAGTACTCATATGAATGGGGCAAAGAAAACAAAACCATAACGCTTCATTATTCGAGCTCAAACACCTTTTTGTTGTACGTATGTATTAGACACGAAAAAAATACATACGGAAGCCCATTTGATCTGTTTTTTTTCTTATTTGCTGTAGTAAAAATATTTTTTAAATTGTAGAAGCATCAAAATAGGATTATGAAATGAAATATGAGAAGGGAATTATTAATGTATAAAAAAAATAGAACATAAAATAAAATTTATCAATTCGAATTTTTTTTCTATTGTTGACTCGTTATTTCAAAAATGATTGGAAAAACAAGATATCTCGAATTATCTTCTCTCTTTTTTTTTCGCACTGAAAATTCAATTAGTATCTCTAACAAACAAAGAAAACAATTGATTACGTCCATGATTGATCATTTTTTTTATGTAAGAAGGTTAAACTTCCAAGTTGAAATAATATTATAAAATTGTTGCTTTTTTTTTTTTAAACATATTTACAAAATCATATTTTCTTATATCAATATGAATTATAAAAAGCAGCAAATGCATTTCATACAAATAGCAGACACACACTGCGATTCATTCAACAAACGAATAAAAGACTTTTAGATTTAATTTTAGAATTCTGAATCAGCATGATTTATTGAGTACAATATATTCTGTGAACATAGGTGTTTGTCAATACAACTTTTCATTATTAAATATCTATAATTTAATGTTAATTAATTCTCATACAATGATATTTATCATACTTGCTCTTTTGGAGCTAAAGTTTAGCTCGAAAGTGCAAGTATTATAAGTGTATAATCGTATTATAAGCAAGTTTTAACAGTTAAACTTATGGGCATTAAAACTTCTTGTCTTTCATTAAAAAAATAAAAGTACAAATACTTACCATCATGTTGTTCTTGGTAAAAGAAATTCTATGGATCATAGACACTATTTTAGAAGACTTGATCCATTACACACTACAATGTCAATTACAACAATATCTTTCTTCTGTTTTCAATATGTTTTCTCTTCATCAGTTACTTTTTTTGTTAACACATTTTTCTTAGCCTATTTGTTTGAGATTTCCTTTGTCTATTCTCTCCCTCCTCTTGTTCTCATCTCATCACACTTCACATATTGTACATAATCATAATCTTTTTTTCTTCGAATATATAGTGATGATGAACAAAAGCAAAATTTTATATCTGTCTATATCCTTGGCTTTACGTGTAGAGAAAAAGTCTATAAAAGGATAAATTCATGCTAAAAGGTATGAAAATGAACAATAACTCTATTGTAAACAAAGTGTAAAATGTGACGTATATAACGAGAAAAAGGAAATAATAAGAATTAGATAATGAACAGTCAATATTAGTAAGTCCTTGTTGAAAAGATATAAATCTCATTTATGTGCATTGTTCAAAATGAGTCGAAGAAAAAAAATATATATAATAGTAAATTACAACTGTGTCTCGTTTTATTTACAACAAGTTGATTTCAATGAATATGAAAGTTAAATTAGATTTGTCAGTATAAACAAGAAATAGGAACTAATCAGACACAAATCTTTATTGTAGTAACCAACGATATATGTATACGGTCTTATTGATCACTTGTCATCTTGACAAAAGTAACATTACAATATCCGATATATTCATAATTTTTTCTCATGAGACAGAAATAATTTTATACAATTAATAGATCCTTCTCTCGTTTTGTTACTACAGTATACACATGTATGGACAGACATACTTCATCTCGAATTAAGTATACAAAATACTTGTTTTTTGTTAAAAATTGAATCAGTCGTGTTCATCGTTTACTAAATTATTGTATTTTATTATACAGAACAATAAAATACAAGCATATTTTATCGGAATTACCTAACAAACTTATCAGAATATCAACCATGAACGTCAAATAGAAGAAGTTTTAGCTTTAAAAAACTATTATATGTCAACACATTTCTTTGGATTGTGCAAGTGGAACAAAGTCCAGCATCACTGAATATCGTCACTATGTCTATATATTGGAAAAGAGTAAATCATATTGTTAAGGTACTATTTATCTTTAACGATTCGAAAATAAATCAACTTTCTACACCGATTTAAACAATAAAAGTTGCTTATCACGATTCGTCTATTGTTTTTTTGTCATTCTCTGACAGTTTTTTTATTGTTTTAATCAGTAACTATTCTTATATAGTTTAATCTTTTCAACAAGTATCCAGCTCTTTACGTATTTCAAGTAGTATAGAATATATATCAAAAATGTAAAAGTACAGTTGTGTATTTTGATACGCAATAGTCCTATTCCATTGACTTTCTTCTAGTGGCATCAGTTTCATAAAAACGCGTTTATTCAGATTTTTATAAAAAAAAATTCTTTCTAAAACTCTTACTTTTTACTTGTCATCATTTGTCAGTAAACACAAAGACTCATCGCACAAACATTTAAATGCGTTATTTTAAATTTTTCAAAATACTAGACAAAAAAAAAGGTCAATATAATGTGCTATTATAAAATACTTAATTTTTAGACAACAAAATTTAAGTTTCAAACTTCACGAATGTATCCACTTCAAATGTATTTTTACATAAAGTAATACTCATACCATTAAAAATGATGAGATACACTAGGTTTTTTTCAAGAACATGGAAGATTACTTTTCTATCGTATAACATCCTGCAGTACCATGGATAATTATTTACTCAGAGATTATAAAATAAAAAATAATGATTTTCTGCGATTATTTCTTCAATCTTTAAATTTTGGTATTGCGTGTCTGTTGATATTATATTTTTTTCGATAGTGTTAGTGAAAGCGTTGAATGCATATACAAACGATTTGAAAGTTTTTTTATTTGGATTGTCAAAAATGGGTGAATGTTATTATTGCATAGTTTCTTTTTCCATTCAAAAAATTTTTCTTCTTTCAAAATTAAATTAGCACTTTTCGATAAAAGATGATTCAATTCAATTCAACTGTAGTAAGCGAGATAAAAAAAAAACACCCACTGTATTCTGCTTTCATTATCATTTTATATGCAATCCAACACAGAGAAAAATAATTGTTATAAATGTTCTAGAACTAATGACTACAATAAAACAGTTATCGTATTAGCTCTATATTGGTTGTATAACTCTAAACAGTAGATTTTTTAAGATTTATACAATCTAGGAAACTGATAAGACTTCACAATAGATGTATGTTAAAGTTCGTACAAAATTTTATATTTTTCTTTCTCACATGGTGCAAAACTTCAGCAAAACTATTCAAAAAAATCTCATTTTTTTTTCCATCCAGAAATGCTCAAAAAAAATTCAGTCTTATTACATACTGCTAAATAAATTCAAATATCTCATTAGATAAAAATAAAAATTTGAATGTCTGTTGTAAATTGCGAGTGTTAATTCTCAGAAATTTGTTCAAAAACAGCAGCGAAGCACTTTTTGAATGAATAAAGAATATATAACTTATACTTCTCATTTATTCTATGATTAAAATAGAGCTGAAGTGTTGCTCTCTTCAACAAGACAAGACTGAGTTTCAGATCTGAGAATTTTTCTTTACATACTATAGACTTATGTAAATAGGATTTTTGTGATTTATATGAAATCTGCTGACGTGCTTAGAATTAGCTTTAAAGACGAATAAATTTTTCATAGAAAATATTAGATTTAACATCGATTTATTGTGGAAATTAAAAGTATTCTAGAAATACATCGTTTTTTCGGATGTGTAGATTACAAGTATGATATTTATGAAAACTTAAAGTGGTTTTGTAGAAATTTTCTTAGTGAAAAAAATTTCAGTTTTAAAGAATGTTTTGTACACTTTTATCTTAAAATTGTGTGAGATCTTATTCTTCCGAATGCGGTCTCTGTAAAAAAAGAATTGGACAGAAACTGACATGTAATTTACAGGAAAATTTGTGAAGACTAAGGTCAGGATTTTAAAAAGCCAGAATACTTGTCGAACAATATACCTCAAAGTCAATGAAAGATATAACAATCGTTCTCCGATCATTCATCATAGCGAGCAAGGTTTTCATATCATTTGATGTATAAATGGTTACATATTTTGTGCTCGCTTGTCTATAGAAGTGGTTCATTACCATTACTGTTACTAGTAATGAGTAACAGAATTGTTACAAGTAACACCGAGTAATAAGTAACGAGCCATCCCTATTTCTATGGGAATGATCATTTTTAAAAAGATGTAAGTTTATACTGCTGCCGCTTCAGTTGTTACAAACGCTAAAATACTAAGAGCTTGTGAATTGTTATTGTTCAAAATATAACTGTTTAGTCTCTATTCAATGTTGTATTTGGATACATTTCATATTGATTATTGAAAATACAAGTTGTCTTTCATTGAATTCTAATCCCGAAAGTGAAAGAATGAAGTTTATGCTCATTCTGTCATAAGTGAGAACGTGGAGTCAATAACTTTATGAAACATATATTCCTTTCTATTGCTAGTTATTTCTTTGAGAAAAAAACTATTCGCTTAATGTAAATTCTTAAGGTGAAATGATCTTCTCGCATTTTAGAAATTCTTCTATGATTGAATAATTCTAAAAATGATGTCACTCTCTAGCAGCTTTCATAGGGCACGTGCTATATATGAAATTTAAAAAGAAAAACGCAGAAAAAATGTACCAAATTAAAGTTTTAGTTTTATATTTTTATAATACAACTTGTTACGCAAACAAGAAAGGAAAACAGAAGCAGATTTATTTGTTAAACTGGAAACATTTACTTAGAGCGTAAAACACTTGAATTTTTACGGATGAAAGCAACTTTGTCTCAATCGAAAGAACAGAATAAAAATATCATACAGTCCTCAACATTTGTGTTTATATATCGGACTAACTTCGCTGTAGTGTTCAGTTATATATGAATAATATACATAGAGAGATCTATCATCGATTTTGAACACTAGAGAACATTAAAAAAAGATTATTTATTTGCATAGTGTCTCCTACTATACATATAAAATGACTTTTTTTCAATATTACGTGACTTACAACATATATACGCAAATTACTTAGTCTAGAATAGAGATAAATGTAATTCTGATAACGATTCATGTAAATATTAAATTAATTGAAAAAAACAAAACACGGAATTAATTCTATCAACAGGATACCTTAGATATCTATAAGTAACGATGTCTGATACAGTTTTAGTCTTGTCGGTTCGATCAAATACAAATTCCACCGTAAATTATGAGACACAACATTTTCTCAAGTTGACCTCACGATGGATTATTCGATGTTCAACACACATTTTATTGTTTAAGTAGAAAAAAGTGCATCATAGGATGTAATCTAAGTCTGAACAATCTCTGTCATGACATACTTACTGGCAGACACACTACAAAACTTGATTGTTGTCAAATCTATATATTATTATCAATAATGACTTCTAATTACAAGAATCTAATATAGTTGTACGCTATTGTCTAACTTTGAAAATTTTGCATTTTATTATTTTTTAAAGATCAACCAAGAATGGCCGTCTCACAATTAATCTTACCTGTCAAAAGCATAAAATCCTCTGTATGAAATAAAAATAGTAAGAGCTAATCGCTATTACTATTACTATGGTGTTTAATCAACTAAATATATAAATTTGTAAACGTTAATTATTATTGTCTTTGAATTAATTATTGTCATTATCAAAAAGAGCAGGAGTATATTATAAAATGAGTTCTGTTGTTTTATTTTATAATCAAAATGTAATCACACATAATCGACGCCTGCCATCATTTCTCTCTGTCTCTCTCTCTTTTTCTCTCCCTTGTACAATCATTATAAATCTTACGTATATATTTCAGAACAAAAATATCAAAAAAAAATTTTTTTTTACTCTCTGTTCTGTGTTTTGCTCTTATTTTGTGTAT